CGAGGCCAAGGTCTTCCTCCAATTCACAAGGGCTCTGAAAACAGGGACGCCCTGAGTTGGTTTAGGGTTTGGGGTTTAGGGGTTGGGATTTAGGGTTTAAGGTTTCTATCTTTTAGGGTTTAGGACTTAGGGTCTAGGGCTCCGCGCAATGGCATTCGACGTAATATGAGGTTATGTAGACAAATGCACGGATGATATAGGGTAATATTTGAAGGTCATGTAGGGGGTAGATATTGGGATTACAACTCGAAAGTGGGCTCATATGCTCATATATGTATATAGGTAAATGTCTCGGAGATTAAGGGTTTGGGAGACGGGTCTGGGAGACCCTAGAACAATACAGGGGTTCTATAGATAATGTAGGGGCCCTGATTTGTGGACCCCTATCGACATGACTGTAGATTCAAGAAACGTCTTGAAACGCCAGTGCGCTCAGGCAGCGAAGGGAGCGTAAAGCAACCCCTGATCATTATAGTAGTTTCCATTTTCTTTTCCATTATCCCAATATGACCCAATATAGTCTATATTACCCTATACTATCCCAAGATACTTAATATATAATATATAGGATCAATTACCTTTGAGAAATTAGCACGGGGATCTGTCAGGCGCGCAGTGGGGCCAGCAACATCAGGCGCACTATGCAATTCGCCAGCAAAGTACTCCACTTGCTTTGCGGGGTGCAATTAGCTAATTGCTTGTACATGGTCTACGCCGGGCTCACTCGCATAAGTGTGAACACGTGCATCCGACTCTAGCCCACAACTCACCCTTTCCTAGCTGTCCAAGCTTTGAGGAGACACGGGGGAGACTTGTGCAGTTCTATGTGGCGATCCACTTTGTGCCCATAAGTATGCATTTCTGCGCAGCCCTTCCTGCCGGGCGCGTCCTGGACGCGTGCAAGTTTCGCCTTAGCCTCTGAATTCCTCTCGCGCAAAACTCAGCAGGACCTGTGACCTTCCTCGGGCAGTGCTGTTGAAAGCTCTGTAACATTCAACTGTGTTGTTCTGATATCGTCTTAGTTACCGTTAAATTTCTTCTTCTGCCTCCACACTGGAATATGAGCATTCCTGGCACCAAAATATGATGATACCGATGTTGTTTGTCTCTGTCATCGTGTTTTGCGAGGCCAAGATTGCCAGCTGGAGTCACGTCGACTCCTCACATAAACATGTCTTTGATAAACTCGTGCGGCTCTGATGGGGATCTCAACATCACATCAATCATGAGAAGTTCATGTTTTTCCTTTTTGCATGTCGCTGAGTACGACCTTTACATCACAGCTCCAGGAAATATCATTCCTCTTGGCTGATGTTGATGCTTAAAGGACTGTGAGGTCAAAGCTCCTGCTGGCACCTGCTTCCTACAAGTGGCAACAACTTGAGACCACGCTGAATTCTGTCCTACTGTCGCCAAAGCGCAAAAATACTATATTGAACACACGCACCAAGAGCCCAAGTTTGCAAAGCTGCTCCAATTTGAAACATCTCTCTAACTTTGCCTTGGGCGATTAGTGCTGACTGGGATTAAGGATCTAGGGGCAGCCCTCCTCCCAACACCAGCATCCAGGAACAGCTGTTGAGTCCAAAGCCAATGTAGGATGCTGATGCCGGCTGCAGCATATCTGCTTTGCTTGAAGACTAAAGAAAATCTTGGTAATCTGTCAGTGGGCCTGGACTTTCCCATGATCCGAACTCCCCTTCAACAACGCATGGAGCTCTCCATGTGCATTTGCAAAAACAATAGCGTGGCCGGCCGTTGGCAGTTCCTGCCGCAGACAGGCTTTTGAGTCTCGGGTGTCAGGCGTCAGCAAAACTTAGCCGATGCAGGGGTGCCCTGAAAGAACCTGCAATCAAACAAGATTACTGACTGCTGTTGCAAATAGCCCAAATAGCCCAAATAGCCCAGGAAGCCTTAGCTGAAGTTCTGGGGAAACATCTTATTGGGGCTTGCCGTAGCTCGCTATTATACTGCCACAGCGAAGACCACACGGATCATGCAGCTCCACGTTGCAGCTTGTCGGTGGGTTTGAAGGGTTCGTCTGAATCTTCTCATTCCTCTTTCTTGTGGCTATACTCGTTCGTCAGCTTGATCCAAACCTTCTGCATTCCATTTTGCAGGTTACGGCATTGGACTTCATTTCATCTTGATCGACCTGCCGTATGTGGTGGCCAGTACCTACTTGCCTTTCAGTGTAGCCTAGCTCTTGGTGCCCTTGCGTTCAGAATCTTACTTGGAGAAACCAAGCTACCAAAGACAAGAGTAGATGATCTGCACAGTACATGCTACAACCCTAGTGGCAACAATGGTGATGACAAATGATGACAACAATAGTTTGCTACGAATCTCCACTGACAAGCAAACAGCTGCAGAAGCCTCCGTCCGACCTCTGAAACCGAACGCCTAAAGACTTTGATCAATGTCGATAGCCATTCGAGCTATAGTCTAAACGCCTAGTATCCGCCTTAATGACCCCTATAGCAGTCCCTTTTGTTCCCCTTGCGTAACCCCCCTTTAAGGAGTTTAGACTCTAGCCCCCTTAAACTCCGGACTCCATTCTCAGACCCAGCCTGTCACTGCCATGCGACCATACCCAGCGGAGGTCGAACGTTGCGGTAGAAACTCTCCTTGGTGGCTCCAAGGCAGAATTCCAAAGGGTGGTCATCGGGGGGTGGGTACTATATCATGGCTGGTTACTGTAAACAATAGGAGCCCCGCTTTCTGGACGCTAATATTCTAAAATGTTTGTTATGGGACTCCCAAAAAGGGCCTGTAATGTCTAGAAAGCCCCTTTTGACACCAGAATCACGCAGAAGATAAGCGTGCTTCTGTCCAGCGCATGCTAGCCAACAGGTTCATACAACTTGTTGCTCAAAGCGGGCAGCGAAGAAACCTGCATGACTACTGATCCTTTTCCCTCTCGACACTGTCTAGCTGCAAAAACAGCCCCGAAATACAGTGGTTGTCGCTTGCACCTACATGAGAAACCTGCACAGATGCCTCAGGATCAGCGGCTTAAGTTCACAGACCTGTCAACTTTTGAACGCCAATCCTGAGGTAGCAGTGGTGTCGTCTTCTCGGGAAAAGCACCCAAAAAGTCAGAAAGAGACAAATGTGTTGCAACGCTTGATGCAGTGCTGTGCTTCCCACTGTGCTTGGAAAGGAATCAGCACTGGCTGATGAGCCTAGTGGCGAAGCCCCCCACTCCATCCGCCTCAAAGAATTTCCTGTAGAAGAGGGCGAACTCTTCCTGGAACAGCCAAGGTAGGAGCTCAAGACTTGAATGCTAGTTTTGTAGCGGCCTGTTTGATCAGACTCGTTTAGCACAAATTCCTGAGACATTACAAGCATGATAAACTGCTGCTCCTACCCCTGCTGCCTATTGCTAGCGCCATGTCTTCCCGTTGGAGACAACCTACCGGCTACTGCCGCATCTCTTGCTGTCGCTACTGCTGCTGCTGCCGCCACTATGTACTACAACCATCACCCCAACCACTACCACCAGCACCAAAGGCTTCCTTGTTCATCGTGGTAGCAGTACTAGTTATTAGTGCTGGGGCGTCAGAATCGTCATCACCATCATCATCATGATCATCATCATAGTGGTGATTGCTGTCATGGTTGTGGCTGTCGTGCTCACTGCGGTGTTCGTCAATGTAGCCGAAGACGGAGAACAAGTAAAGGCAGTAAGTACCATTTTTGCTAAAGGAGTGATGGCTGCTCACAAGTGTCTCACCCATCTTCTCTACCTATCCATGCCCAAAACCTTTGTCATCAAAGCCATTGCCAAAACAACAAGAGCATACCCAGATCCCAAAGTCAAAATCCTAAACCCCAAAACCTATACAACCCATTATAAGAGTTTCCATTTTCCATTATCCCTATATAATCCCAATATATCCAAACCCTGAATCCTAAACCCTAAGAACCCGAGCACAGACTGCTGGCCAGGAGGCAAAGTCTATGGATCCACTTTGATCGGAATCCTGGCAGAAGGTGTTTACGTGGGTGCTCGTCAGAACATGCGGTCCCATCTAACCCACAATGGAATCCCTACAATGAAGAACTCTACAAAAGCAAACGATGATTTTTCACAGAAGCAATGACCTGAAGCATGGCCATGCCGAGGGGCAGCTTGCGTCCACAGCTGCTTCATCCGCGTGGCTGGAATCTCGAGGTGCCGGGGTACTCTCGCACATCTCCTGTCTTCTGCAAAGCTTGGGAGGGTGAATAACATTGCGTGTCGACCCACATGTGACTCCTGTAGGACACGGCTGCTGTCTGTACAGCTGCAAGAATCTCCGGATCCTTGTAGTGACAAAATCACTCAGCCATCTCAATATCAACGAACCCGATGATGCTCCTGATCAGCGCCTCAAACTCTTCCTGGTCGATCTCACCGCTCTCGTCCATGTCGTATTCTGCCTCCAAAAAGGTACCCAGAATTTTGGGAAACCCTAAACCCTACATAATCCCTATCTAACCGTATATAACCCCTGTAAAGGTACGGCCACAACAAACAGTGTAGCCTGAAATCATGTGGTAGATAGTTGAAATCAGCATGACCTTACGTAATAACACTACGGCGACGGGACAATTAGATCATGCAGGATTTTTGCCGTCAACAGCCCGATGGCATCAATGATCCGAGCCAGGGTCAAAGCAATTTGTGTTTGGACCTAAACCCCAAGCCCTGAACCCTAAACCCTAAACTCCTAAACAAACCCCATAAAGCCTAAACTTAAGCAGGTGTGCTTTGAAACGGCTGGGCTATCTACAGATGTGATCATAGCTTTTAGTCTTGTTCGCTACCCAAGCCCTTAGCCCACTTGCCTGCAGGCGCGGCCACTAAACTTTTAAGCCCCAAGCTCCCTGAGCCCTTAAACCCTCAAGCTCCCGCACAAACCAAACCCCACACCCTGAAACCCAAACTCCAATCTCTAAACTCTTGAACCCTAAAGCCCTAAAACCCTAACTCCACTTCTCTGCAGGCCAGGCGCGAAATACTTTTTATACCTGTCCATGTCAACAAGGCCTCAGGACCAGATGTAGAAGGATCAAATGACTGGGCTTAAGGTTTGTAGGGTCTTAGTTGTAGAGTTTAGGGTTTCAGGGTTTAGGGTCATCCTTGCAACGGGGAGTTCCCAAAAGGTACTCCTAAGTCTGGGGAAACAATCCCCGTATGAGCCATAGTCTAAACTCCTAGTTTCCCCCTTAGTATCCCCTATAAGACTCCCCTAGAAAATCCCCTTTAAGGAGTTAAGACTATGGTTCATATGAATTCTGGTCGGAGCTTTCAGTTTGACGAGGGGGTGTCATTAAAAACAGCCGAAGCGCAGTACAGCCTTGAAACTCTGCAGCACCAAAGATGTGTTGCCATCAGTTTACAAACTTCTGAACATACCATGCGCGCTGGTGGTTGTGGAGTTCTACAACTTCACTGTAGCTCCTGGGGCCTACCCTCCAACCCAACTCTCTGCACTCTCCCAGCACCACCATGATCAAACTAAGCTGTTCGGCTGTAAATCTACATGCATTACATGGTTCAAGGTAGTTTAAAGAGGATTCCCTCACGGAAGGGCCCGGGGCTGCTTCTGGGAAGCCTAAACATTCAAACCTCATTACTCATTACTATTATTACTATTATTGCTCCTTTGTTATTACTATTCTACTATTACGTTTATTATTGCTATTACTATCATCTGTATCTGCGACCAAGTCTCTAAGCCTATCATCTGTATCTGCGACCAAGGCTCTAAGCTCGTTCTCAGAGCAGAACTCGCGAAAGGCGCGCTCTTTGGCTGAAAGGGTGACATTGGTGTTAAATCCAACCTCAGTCTTCCCTGGGGCTATAGTCCCCCCTTAAGTAGATCGAAAATGGTGTATATCATTGGGGTTATATAGGGATAATGGAAAAGAGAATGGAAACTACTATATCACAACAGGGATTTTGGGGGTTATAGTCCCGGTTAAGTAGATAGAATATGGCTTTGGGTATACTATAAAAAGACCCCCACATACCCCCATATTTTCTCTGCTAAAGGGGGACTATAATCTGATCAACTCCTGATTGCTCTTTCTTCTCGTGTTTAGTATGGCTGCTAAATTGTCGTCCTCTGCTCTCAAGAAGGCGAGGTGCCGTGGAAAACCAAGTCACAAACTCCGGGAACGAGATGGAGCCGTTCCTGGGCGCAAACAAATTACTGCAAGAACTTATCAGGAAAAGCCAAACAATACGCGATGTCTGCATTTGAAGAACGCGACTACTAGATTCATACCAAATTGCAGCATTACAATGTTAATCTGTTCCTACGTAACTATGGCACATTATTTCTCGTAGGAGAGCCCCAGGTCAGTCGGTTGAATCCGGCAGTTGAAACAAATTGTGAACATCTCAGGTCGGTCTTCATCTCTTCTCCGTTCAATCAGAAGCATTCCAGCTTTTGCTTGGCTCATTAAATGCCAACCTGGAAAATTCACTTTTAACCTGCTTAGACGAGACCTGAAGCAGCTCCAAAAGTGTGAAAGTGCCCAATTTGTTGAAAGGGCTGGGTAATAGTAATAGTAATAGTAACAGTAGTAGTAATAGCAATAGTAGTAGCAATAGTAATGGTAAAAGTAGTAGTAGTCATAGTAGCTGTACTAGTCTTACTGCGCATTGCCAAATCCACCTGGGCTTCAGCGAGCCATAGTTCCTCTAGGGTTTGAGGCTTAGGGTCTAGCATGTTTTGCTAATGACAAGTGTAAGTGGATCAGCAAGAGACGAGGATGGGGTCTGTCCCAAGAAGACCCGTGGAGGCACGCTGCGAGAAGCTGAACACTGTTCTCAGGTTTGGACTCGGAATCTGCGGTAGCCAGCTATAAAGCTGTGCAAGCCGGGAATATTGGGATGATAGAAAAGAAATGGAAACTACTTATTGGGGGTTTAATTAGGGCTTCGGGTCTTTCATGTAGTGCAATGAGCTCTGCAGGAATTGAAGCCCCATACTCTGTCGCAGAGTTTGCTCTTTCACATTATACATTTGAACGCGCCGACTGACAATAGCCTGGAGTCTTATCCTTGTCCGCGACTGCGAACGCATGGCGCAGCAGATTCTGTGGCAGCTCGTCCAGAGAATCCATTCCAGTGCAGTGTAGCAGGCCTTGGGTGAGGGTCTCTTCAATAACAATCCTTAATAGTAACGGTGATACTATTAGCACAGTGTGGGATCCCAATAGCTGTTGAAGTCTATGTCAGGGGCGGCGATCATTGTAATTTTTGTCTTGCTCGATAAGCTGAATTTTTGACGGGCCTCTGTTCATTGGTCTGCGTACGTGTTCTGTCAAGTGCAACTGTCAGGACTACGGTACTCTGACGCAATGATCATATCTTTCATGGAAAGCCCAAAAGACAACTCGTAAGTGCAGTGATGAAGGCGGCGCGCGCAGCAATGTCTTCGAGCAGTTGCTTAGTTGACCCTTTCTCTTGAGATGACCCTTCTTGAGCCATCGTTGTGGGTTGTGACGGGAGCCAACAGCAGGTCAAGGCTGTGGCGGGGGGGGGGGGGGGGGGNNGGGTGATTTATTGAGGTGGTGGTCTTGGGTGCGTGTGCAAGGTTGAAAAGGGCGCAAAGAGGGTTCATGAGCTCTGAAAAAGGGAAGTTTGAAGCGTACTATCCCAAAATGCTGCCAAGCAGCATTTGCCAAACCTGACACAAGCAATCATGGGCTTTAGGAACAAGATGCGCGTGCTGGTGCAGCAAGAGAACTCAACACATTTCATGACGGGGCAGTTCTGTGCTGATAACTGCATTGTATACGAAAGTGCCTATCCACATGTTCCAGGGCTGCAAGCCTAGCGTATTTGCGTCTTGGGGACTCACTTTGTCATTGCCAGCAAGAGAACTCTTGAACTTGCAAAACATCCGTCACACTCTTGTTACCGGCTGCATTGTAGTAGTGAATGGAGGAGTCCATCCGTAAAGTACCTCCGTGGCACTTTCCATGTTCTTTTCCATTCCTCCATTCTCTTTTAATGAGGATGCTCTCCAAGAGGGCGGTGTGGAGAGGGCGTGGGCGGGAGGGGTCAGAGATGGGTACCGGGTACCTATTCATAGTAGGTCGCCGTCAGCCCTCGCCACTGTTGCCTATCGTTGCGAACCCTTGCCCACCACCTCTCCATGCCAGGCTCAGACTTTACCCCTTAACCTTCTAAGATTGGTACACCAGTAGTGCCCGGTACCCATCTCCTAGAACCCCCACCCACTCTGCCGAAAGATAGGGGCTATATTGCGAGAATATAGGGGTTATATAGGGATAATGGAAAATGAGATGGAAACTAATAGTTAGGGTTTACCTACTACTACCGTGCAAGTCTAAGCGCCAACACCTCACTGAAGCCTGCACAAGCATTCACCATCTGAGGGCTTCTGGACATACATAGGGGGTCAGATATAAACCCCAATATGCTACAATTCTTACTATATGGACTATATATGACTACATAGGGACTCCCCAATAAAAACAACTCGGAAACACCCGTCTTAGAAGCCCAAACCCAGTTAAGGAGAAGTCTGTGCTTTTAAGGGTCCCCACCAAAAACCGCAATAAAAACCTACATAAATAATGGCGCCAAGCACAGCAAGGATCAGTAAGGGGAAGAGGAGCGGAAGGCCCAGCAAGTAACGAAGCTAGATAACTCGAGCTAAGCCTCAAATAATGGCCCTCCATAGAAGGATGACCTGGTTTAGTCTTGTAATAGTAATAATGATGTATTGTTGATACTGTTGTTATTAGCATTGGTGTTGCCATTGTTGGTATTGTTTCCTTTATCCCCAAAAATCGGGCAAGTCGACAGAGGCACTGAGAATCATCGACCAGCAGCCACAGCTGACATCTGCAGCCAGGCGGCTGATCAATATTCAAATTTCTCTCGAGCCCGGCAACTTGCTCCAGGAACCTCAGCACAAGATGCGATGTCCAGATGGATGTCGCTTTTGAAAGCCATGCCATGGAGGATTCATGCCGGACACTACTGTGCTCAGGGCTGTCCAAAGAAAGAAGAGGATGACTAAACCAAGGTTCTGTCGCACCTCCGCTCTCGTCAGCGGTAGTTCCATATCTTTACACGCTTGTTTCCATACGACCTTTCCAAACACTGACGGCGAATGATGAAAGAAGGTCCGTATCTACCTGCATCAAAGATGAAGGGGGGGGACAAAGACTTCACCTTAAAGCCAATTCCCAAAACTCTCAAAGACTCTGCCCTCACAACCCCAAAACTACCAAGCTCATGGATAGTTTAGGGTTCAGGTGGTCAGAGCTTAGGGTTTAGCAAAAGAATTGTCTCATACCCGCCAGCCCATTTATCGCCCACCCCTACCCATGCAGCCTCATACCCTCCAAGAAATTCATCTACACCCTACATGCTACGAGGCCCTTGTCTGATTTTGGATACGCTCCTTCATTCAGGGGCAATGGGCTCGCTGGGTCCCCCTTAAGGAACACATGGAAACCCTAAAGCCTACACCCCAATTTCCATTTTACTTCCATCTTCTCTCTATCTGGTTCTCTGTTGTTGGACCAGCAACCCGAAACCCCCAACCCCAAACCCCAAACCCCCAACCCTAAACCCAAAACCCCCAGCCCAAAACCTAAAACCCCAACTCAAAGCCCTAAGCCCTAAACCCCAAACCCTAAACCCCAAACCCTAAATAGTAGTTTCCATTTTATTTTCCATTATCCTCGTATAACCCCCATTATAACCCCAATATAACTCCTATACCTCCAGGTCACTTCTCAAGTGCAGCCTGCGAGTCTGAGGTTCCCACAAGTCCGCGGCTTGCAGGCCTCATTTAGGGTTTAGGGCTAAGGTTTAGGGTTTAGGGTTTAGGGTTTAGGATTTAGGGTTTAGGGTGTTTCTTGTGGCTCCTTTACGGTTTAGGATTTAGGGTTTAGTTTGTTTTTGTGGTTCCTTTAGGATTTAGGGTTTAGGGTTTATTTTTTCTGCGGCTCCTGTAGGTTTTGGGATTTAGGGGCCCGCAGTTCGGTGTTTCAATGGATGCCTCTATTCGTCAAGGATTTCTACCAGGTTTCTAGGGGAGTTCTATAACATTTTCGAGGGGTCCTATGAGGTTACGCAGGGATTCTGCGAAGAATTCCGTAAGGTCCCATAGCTTGAAGGCTCCTTGTGCAGGCGAGAGGCGCTGTGTTCAACATGTATTGAATACTACTGCTTCAACAGAGGGACAGAAGCACATAGAATAGGGCTTCAGGCAGTCCACTACTGTAACCAAAGCCAAGCAAGGAAAGTAAGGGTATGTCAATCGCACTTGCTCTTCTTGCTTCAAGCTCATGTGCTACTGACGACGGTGGCTAGCTCTCTTGACACTGCAACTTTTTCGTCATTGATGACCTGATGCCCGTGCCACCTGTTCTTCTTTTACAGCACGGATCACAAGGCGCAAAAAGGCCCTACAGAAGCAGCAGAATTCTCCCGGTTACTGCTGGGACAACATTCAGGCTGGGGCCTATTCAAGCTGCAAGGCCTTGTACAACCAAAAAGTCTCCAGCACATGCATTTGTGTTCCGAAAGCTCTGCTCTTGCCCGCAAAGCCGATGTTGCGAGATAGCAAGTTAGGCCGCAACATCAATAAATGTAAAGCACCTGAATTGGACAGGCCTCAACCGCGACTTCGACCAAACTTGTCCGAGGCAGGCACAAGTGTCCAAGGGCACATGATTGGCTCGGGCTATCCATGCCTGATATGATAGAATCAATCTGCTCGTTGCTCGGCTTGGAAGCAAGAAGGATTACTTTTCTGGGATTGCCCCTGCGCAAGTTCTATTTGGGCAATGGTTTTGTTCTTGATTCATGACAGGACGCATGTTGAGAACGTCTCTCAATTTCCCCTGGTCTGGTTGATTGGTGGCCGCAGTAAATCACAGGTAGTTTCTGGAGGTATTCCAACAATGGGGCTCATCGCACAATGGCATGCAAACAAAAACGCCCACCCAATAATCTTCGAGCCTCGTATCATTGAACATGATAACTGTCGTCGTCATAGTCATAGTCCCACTCACAGTAGTAGTTGTAGTAATAGTAAGAGCAGTAAGCAGAAGACTCAGGCAACATGCCGTCCCACTTCAAACAAACGAGTGCGAATTTCCCTCGCAGCTAGGGCAATTTTTCATCTTAAAGAGGGTCCCATAGCTGTGTTGATCCTCACCCGGCGCAAGCTTCTATCAAAACACGTGACCGCAATTAGAAGAAATCCAGAATACACCCTGCCATCATGAGTACTGCTCTGGCTGTTACCGTGCTACATGCCACTATCCTACCCCAGGCCCTCAACCCTCTCACCCTCTCTATATATAATGCCTATATTCCCCCGGTGTCCATGTTCTGTTCCATTTGATTCTCCATTAAAACGCTAACTTGATGATCAAGCCATCATACAGTATGAGCTATAGTCTAAACTCCTAGTATCTCTCTTAATAACCCAATAGTAGTCCCCTGTATAATCCCCTACATAACCATCCTTTAAGGAGTTTAGACCCTAAATCCTTAACCCTAAACCCTCTACATATAATCCCCTATATAACCCCCTTTAAGGAGTTTAGACCCTAAATCCTTAACCCTAAACCCTATACTTAAAATCCCCTATATAACCCCCCCTTTAAGGAGTTTAGACTATAGCCATCATATCCCTGTTCCAAAACTCGCTGAGCCAGGCTGAGCATCCTGCCATCTTGGCCGACTCCCGCGGAGGAGGCTGGTGATGGCCTCATGATGGTGTAGTACCCTTCCCGGGGCCGCCCGTCCTCATTTTAATAGGGTATGTGTTAGGGTTATAGCGGGTTATATTGTGTAGTACCCTTCCCTCCGCCCCAGCTTTCTTGAAACTGGACATTTCATAGTAGCAACTTCAGAACCTGACACTCAGGCAACTTGGACCATGTCTTACAACCAGCAGTTAAGGTGAGGTCGGGTGAGGTCTTTGCAATTTGAAGTTGCGCCGTAGAAAGCATGCATTGTGTCAGAACAGGATCAAATGAGACTTTGGTATAATTTGACTACTCCTGCCTGGAGGGCTGCGCTTCTGGTGCCACAAAGCCCTGCTACTAAACCTCAACCAGATATA